CAGGACAAGTAATTCTACTAAAAATGGCCTATACGCGGAAAGGGTTTCCGGTGGGCCTTTTTTCCAAGGTCCTGGACAACTTGCGGGAAAGAGGGGGCCGGTCTGGCACTTGACAGCAAGCCTGGTGCGTCAGTTTTACTGTAGATCGTAGTACCGACGTTTGATATAGGTAGGTATATATAGCTTTGTGAACAGTATCAATTCCTCTCACAGCCGACTCGTTATGGCCGGTACCTTCGGCTGGCGCCTGCTTTAGCCGTCGGAATCGGCTGCCTAATTTTGTTCGCGGAACGAGCGGAGGTTCCTGGGGATGTGGAAGGAGGGTGGAGGCGAAGGGATGAGACGTCTATGATGTGAATTTTTCCGATATGACATCCCACCAAGAGAGTTTGCTGTCTGTCCATCCAGTGACTGTGCGCTCACTTGATTGTGTGTGTGCTTGAATTTGCCCTTGCGCAAACACTTGAGAACCGACGGAGGGTCGCTGCTCCGATATGGTGATTAAGACATACCGAGGACTACGAAAGGAGAAAGTGTCGACACTTTTGAGAGTTGAAGAACACGAGAAGTTTTGGCGTACCTGAAGGAAGACGGACGAGAGCTCTGGCAATCTGGAAGTGGGAGACTGAAGACGGGGTGGTTGCGACGACCGGTGTATGCGGTTTGGCAGGATGGCGTCAACAAGCCAACAACCCCCGACTGATGAGGGGGCTAGTGGGGGGCAGTCGGGGCGAAGAGGCCCGCCGAAATGTAACTCCTGTCAACATTTCGGACATTATGCCCGAGATTGTGGCTTGTATTGGAAGGAAGAGAAGGAAAAGGCGGATAGGCGACGGTTGGAACCGGATGTACCTATGGATCGGTCAGCGCCTCAACCGCAGCGGGCAAGATCGACATCTCCTTGGCGCAACCGGTGGGAGCCGCCTCGGAGATCACCATCGACGGATTGTTTGCCTAACCGATCGGAAGTGGAGAAGAACACCACCGCGAATTTAGTGGCCATGCTCTTAGCCAAAGAGAAGGAGAAGGAGATTAAGCGCCAGGAGAGAGCAGACCGCAAGAGGAAGATAATGGAGGAACAAGAGAAGGCGGCTCGAGATGAGAAGCGCAGAGAGAGAAAGAGACGTGAGCAAGAGGAGAATGACCTTAGAATTGCACGTATCATCGACATGCAGATGTCACGTCGATGGGGAGGTATTCGGCAGGAACAAGGCAAGGAACATCGTCGCGCTCGAAGGAGGCGATCCTTGGCGGTGAAACGGAAGCTTGGGGTTCGACCAACTGGCAACTCGGAAGATGACGAGGAGCTGGAGAATATTAGCGCAGGCACGGAGCACCTGGACCTGAACTCTGATGCCTCCGAGGAGGAGTGTTACATCTTCGACTCACACGGGTCCTACCGGACCCGACTTAGGGCCGGAGGAACACACCAGGGCCTAAAGGCCCGACCTTTGGGGTTACAGGCCCTAAAGGCCTGATTTTGGACCAGCACCCATCGGGTAGGCCCAAACGACACTTCGTTTGGGCCTGGCGGCGCTCTTGAAGCTGCCGCCCGCCGATTGAGGCTGAACCGTCCATCTGGACGGTCCAGGGTCTGGCCTGGCCTCGCAGCATTGAGGCCAGACCAWTGCCTACCGGTATAAGTACCGGTACCCGCCTCAGTTGAGGCATCGGCCTACCGGAACTCTACCGCCACGGCATGGTCAGTACCATTGTACTGTTTTGATGCGCTAAACTTAGCGCAGGGGCTGAAGCAGGAGCGCAGCATAGCGCAGCTTAGCTGTGCCGGACCCGCCGGGATGGCGGTCCGTTAGGATGGAGACGAAGAAGGAGGTAGAGATGGAGCTGGAGGGGACAGCGCAGCTCCGACGCAGACTCCACACGCAAGTACTCCAAGATCTGCGAAAGTGAAGAATGCCGAAAAACAGACTGCAGCTGGGGTATACCCCCAGCGGACTGACTGGACTGGACTGGACTGGACTGGCCTGGTACCGACCGTGGTACCGGGCGGGACTGGACTGGACTGAAACAATNGGATGAGACGTCTATGATGTGAATTTTTCCGATATGACATCCCACCAAGAGAGTTTGCTGTCTGTCCATCCAGTGACTGTGCGCTCACTTGATTGTGTGTGTGCTTGAATTTGCCCTTGCCCTTGCCCCTAGGCCCCAAAATAAAGTGAAAACAAAACGTAAAAAGTGAAGAAGAAAAAAATTTGTGAATGGGCGAGCACGTTTTGACACCTCCATATTTGGAGATTTTTCATTTTCTTTTGGCTGGGCAAAATACCTTCAAATTTTCTAGGCATGTACCTAACATCATAGAGAAAGCACAAAAAATCATTCAGAAAAAAATATATATTTTTAGGTGCCGAAATATTTTTTGGCGGGGGCCAAACCCCTTCAGGTTTGGACCCCGAACGGGACCGCGAACGGGACCCCGAACGCCCGAATGTACGGAGGTCCGCCTGGGGGCCTCCATACATACGGGCTGGTAACCTTGCCCTACCTCATCATGGCCCTTTTTTCTTTTCTTTTCTTTTCTTTTAATAATCAACCTCACCAAGTTGGTTTCAGCATTCGGGATGCAAAACAGTCAGGTCAATTGAAAAGACCACTCAGTTGCTCACAGATAGCCTGCCTACCCTAGCAAGACATCTTTCTATTTCAAAAAACACTAATAAATTACTTATTAATAATAACTATTAACTGTGTAGCACACCGAACATGTTCGGGTGTTCGGCGAAACGCCACCCGAACGTGTTCGGCCGAACATATTCAAAAAAAAAAAAAAAAAAAAAAAACGTTCTTTTTTTTAACTTTTTTTATTTTAACTCGTCTGTAACCGTTTTGCCCACATTAATAGTTTTTTTTTTTGCATTTTTTTTGTGTGGGGGTTGATGGCCTGATTGATTGATTGAAAAAAAAAAAAAAAAAAAAAAAACGTTCTTTTTTTTAACTCGAGTTTGGTTACGAATTTGACCATACCTCCAAGGCAAAAGTTGTTTGTATTATTATTTTACATAACATATATTTTTTTCAGATTTTTTTGAGAACTTTGTTTTTATAAATATTTTTATGTTCGCGTTCGGAGAGTTTCGGCGCTCGTTCGCATTCGGTCCCAAACATTCGGGTTCGGTCACTGAACCTGAACACGATGCTACACAGACTATTAACAAGTAAACATGTCCCTCGGAACATCCATTAAAATTGGAACAATACAGAGAAAGAAGATTAGCATGGGCCCTGCGCAAGGGTGACGCGCATAAATCGAGATAAAAAGAAAAGGAAAAAAACAAGTAAACATATTGTTTCAAGAAATCATTCAAGTAATCAAAATTATAAAATTCAAATTTCAAAATGAAAAAGAGCAAAACAAAAAGGTAACAGCAGTTTTATTTAAACTTTATTATACTTCAAACTTTAAAGTCCAAAACTCAAATTTAAATTGTTTATCATAACTTTCTACCTGCATCTGATTCCAGTCGCCCATTCTCGTGAAGAACATGAATGATTGCCCTGTACGCCATGAACTTCAACCGCCGCTGTGAAGAAGCCTCTGCATCCTGCAGCCGCAAAGAACCGGCCGCCGCATTGCGGGGATTGGAAAACCCTGGCATTCCTGCTAGGATCTGACGGGACAGGCAGTCATGCAAGAAAAAAAGGAAAAAAAAACGAAACACATTAAATATCTATGTTACCAGAGTCGCCCGGGCCGGGCCGCCCAGCCGGGCAACCCAGTCGAACTTGCATGGGGCATGACCCGCGCGGGAAACCCGGGCAACACCAAAAAGGGGTCAACTTTTTATTTTTTTATTTTTTTTTGGCAGTGGGGCAACGCCCACTGAGACGTGCCCAAATCCGGCCTTATCTTTCGGTTTGGTGATATCTCACCAAAGGGTGTCTATGAGGTATAAGGGGGGTCCGAAAGGGCACGAAGAGGCTTAAACCGCCAGTACATGGCCCCAGCCTTGCTGAAAAGAAACTCGTCCCCTACGCCATGCCATTCGAAAAAGACAGACCAGGCGCACCGTCGACAAAAAAAAAAAAACGGTGGCCTGCATCACTTTTCGGATTCTGACAGGCGCTCGTGGCCGATAGCTGGATGTACTTGTGCTTTTAAGGGGGCTAAAGGGGTATGATATAATTTAGTATTTTACTTGTATTTTTAATTTCGGATTCAATAGCGAATTTTGTGATCACCCTAAGGCAAAAAGATGTCTGGTTTGCAATTCTGCATGACATTTTTTTTCTCAGATTTTTTTTAGTTTTTTTTCTTTGATTTTATTTTCTTTTGCTCTGGGACTGCCTGGGACCTTGACCGGGACCTTGCCCGGACCTGGCCCGGCCGGGCCAATCGATTTCAAACAAAAAGTAATCACAACAGCAAAAGAATTGCAGCTTACGATCAGCAATGGTGAACTTGATTGACCCAAAAAAGAACAAAAAACAAAAAACAAAAAACAAAAAGCAAAAGGGAGATGAAGACTTTTTGGAACAAAAAAGACAAGCTGACGATGAACATCCCCCAGGCACCAACATTTTCGCATCAGTACCAACAGCAATTATTGTGAAGCCTGTTTCTATGCCCGCTTTACAAGCAAACTCCAAAGCAAAGCTAAAAAAAAAACAAAAAAAATAATAATAAATAAATAAACAAACCTGCAACGCGTTCAGCTCCTGGAAATCATCCAAGCACATGTAGACTTCCCCTCGAACATCCATTTCCTTTGGTAGTGCTTCATCTCCCTCTGGGTTTACCACTGAAGACATGGCTGTCTCGTCAAAGATCACACGAGGGATGGAGGGAATGGATCTTGCATTCCTGGTAACATCCTCTCCTGCACCACAGACACAGAGAGAGAGAGAGAGAGAGAGAGAGAGAGAGAGAGAGAGAGAGAGAGAGAGAGAGAGAGAGAGAGAGAGAGAGAGAGAGAGAG